CTAGTACTCCTAACAGTCATGATTCTTGTTCTTAATTATTGTTTCAGTTTTGTTGATCTAGCTTTACTTCTTTCTTCTCTTATTTATTGTTATTGGTCATTTAGGATAAGGTAGTGTAATGTAACAAATAATGTTGTTCATATAGCCGAACCTATTGGTTAGAATAAGTGATAATACTTATTTCCACTCAGATTGTAGGCGCAATCTTGTAGGTAGTGCAATCGTCATGCTAAGCAGAATTGATTTCCATCCTTTTTCCCTAACTAACCCATCTCTGACCATAGACCTACCTATAAGAGGATGGCTATGTTACATAGAATATTATTTGGAGAGCTAACTACTCAGAGGTCCTGATCCTCTATTTATGCACATCATATCTAACCCTAACCCTGATGTGACTTATACTTCCATGTTACCATATCCTACAACTCACAAGTGTGAGTCATGTGAAATCCCTCAACTGACTCCTATATGTCATCTGTGCTATCTGCCTTGTCTATATAACTAGTATGAGTTATCTAAATGAGTTAAGTATATGAGTTATGCCTCCTCACTTCACACTATACCCAAGACATATGAAACTATATTCTATCTTATCAGTCTGCCTTGTCACAGGTCAGTCTGTGATCTATATATTGTGTTATTCTGACACCTTCAATTCTGTGGCATTATAGTCACAGGATGCAATAAAGATAAATATGTAGGATAATGTGGAGGCCCCATAAGGGGGCCAGTAGGGGGTATTGGAGATCAAAGATTCTAATTCCAAGTAGGGTTAACCTACTTAGGGTAGTCTCTAGGTATCGGATCCTGGTACTCCTAACACCAACCTCCTTTACTATATTTTACTTAATACTATCTTTACCCTACCTGAATCATCATTTTATTCTCTATTGTGATAATTACTTTTGAATATATATTTTTATTTAAAGCTCTCTGTAAGTATTCTATCACTTGTAGGAAGACTTGTTCAAACTTAGCTAAAAATCCCCCTGTTTTGAAGTTTAATATGCAAACATTTAAGCTTCCTTGAAATATTCTTTCTAGAGTTGTTTCCCATAATATTTTTACTATTGTTTGGTAAGATAAAAACCTTGTTCACTTTCTTACTATATACACTAAGTGTACTTTAGAGAATCAAAATTACACTACCCAAACATACAAACAACTACATATTACTCAATCAAATGCAGATCTTATTAGAAATAAATAGAATAATGACCATGTACAACTATAGTACTACACATTCTTCTTTTATTTATCAATCACAATGACTATATAGGAAGTCTGGATATTACAGACAAGTGTAAAGGCTAGTACTATTATACTCAACTTCCTATGTACTGCAACTGGTTTTGTTTATTTTCTGATTACTTAATACCTCTATCATTAATTGCTTTCTCTTATCTCAAGTTTATTTTTCTACTTACAATCTCTTCCTACTATTCTCCTCTTCAATCACCTTTTTCTCCTCCTCAGATCCCTACTCTTTTCATAGTTCAAAGAGTAAATCATGGTCCAATTACAGCTTCTACTATTCTTGGCTTGCTTGGAACTTAATTCTTGAGGGCTTTCACCATTTTAATAAACCAACCAATATCACCACCAGTCAGGGCATCCCTACCCAGAACTGACCTCAAGGAAATTGTGCTCAGAGAAGAGGAGCCGGTTCCTATGTCACCAAAAATTATGATCTGAGTTTGTCCCGCCTGAGACTGGGAGACTATCACCTAGAAAATGCTCCCCGTTCTAAGAACTCCTGCCTCTTCTGCTGACCTTTATTGAAAAAGCCTGAATTAACCTCCTTACTCCATGACCCCCACAGGCCAAGAGGCCCTGTCCGATACACCAATTTCCAAAGCCCATTCTGTAAAGTTCCCTTACGTAACAACTCCCGCACGCAAATGTACTGTACCATGATTCAACTTCTGAAATTTCTGAATCTCTCTAGGCATCTTCGGCATTTATCTTTATTTTATTTCTTGTTAGTTCTGAATTTTACCTCATCTTTGCTTGGTATAGCTTATTCTCTTAAACATGTTACTTCCTGGTTGATCTTTGCACTACAGGACGCTAAAATTCCGCGAAATTCGGCACACAAACGAACTTTAACGAAGGGATTCGTACGGGCGTTCGAACAAGCTCGGTGACCCGCTGGACAGTTTCCTTCCGGGCACCTTGGCGCCAAGGATCGGAACATTCAGCACTTGGCCTTGGCATTTAGATGTCCAGACACTTTTGAAATTGGCCAGAATTGTGGACGGGGTTTGTCTCTGGCATTGTTCTGTTTTGGAGAGGCGAGTGCGAAGATATAGTGTCACAACATCTCCACGCGGGCCGAGCAATTGACTTACTCCGATATGAGACTTGTCGCGTCCTGAGAAAGATTACTCTGGAAACGACGCATCGTGCATGCTTGCTTGCCGACAAAAAGCCGTATTATGTGGGGTTGTACCGCTACTCAAGCAAAGTGCCCTTTATTCGAACTGGAGAAAGGCTTTCCGCAACAAGTGCTGTAAATCCCTGAAGTCCGTTGTGTTCTTCGTGGAGTTGGTTGGAAGAAAAGGGAGAGGAAAACGAGAGGGTAAAAATAAAAAAACTAAGAGCTCGACCGAGATCGATCCTATTGGCTTCTAGATACAGGTTTGTAAAGTGGCAGAAGGTAGTAGTCGGGTACCAGGCTTTGAGGTATCTTTTGTCCCGACCTGAGGAAAATATTTGGTCTCCTGGGGTATCATACTATGGGAGAAATCTGGAATTAACTGGAAATTTTGAGCTGGCAATTGAAATTGATGGATCAGTGGTGGGATGATCCCAAAATGTTGAATCGAATGCACCATTAACTTTTCTTAGCGGCTTCAGCCAACCGGGTGAATAGTAGAGTATCATCATAGATTGGTTCTTCGGGTCCAACCGGTTTCCCCGAACCCCCTAGGAAAACCCTTGCCATATGACAGCCTTGCTAGGGGTCTGTGGCTAACCTATAAAGCCTCCCCCTCGGGGCGTCCCGCGTAGCCGGGGATGGGGCAAGAAACGATGAGGGAGTTCTGAGATTGTGAAATATGATATCTTGGGACTGGGGTTTGGGAGTTGATATCATATTATTATGTATTGGTATAAATGCCTAGTTGTCCACCGATCTAGCTCTCTAGATTTTAAGCATGCTTGTCCAGTCAGCATGCTTAGCGCTTTTTCTTTTCCTTTCGCATCTAGGAAATGATAAGAGTGCATGAAAACGGTCCGTGGAATTTCACTATTGGATCACCTAATGTGATGGCCAGATTCTTGTGGGTATCCATAGCGTTGGAATCTGCTTTTCGTGTTGGATCGAGTGATAATTGGTACAGCACCCCCTTTTTCCACGCTGTGGTCGAAATTTTGAGCACTGTACGGTGAAGGGCAATCTGACATATTATGACATAGGGCGGGTCTATACAAGTATGATACAAGAATCAAACTTAAATGCAGCTGTCCTGCCTTTCCAGAAAACGTTCTGAACGAGATTATGTATCCACTTTCAAAACCTTCGGGGCATTACTTGATATGAGCCCCCACTTATGAGTTAGGGGGGCTGCGAGCTCGGAAAGCGAGGCGGTGAGGGGTGTTCTCACGGCAATAGTATCAATATGAGATGGCATGCTATCGGTGAGCCGAGCGATTGTCCCCGATGACCCGAATGTGCGATGACCCGAATGTGCGTGGAGTTCCTTGCACGCCTCTTGGGCTCATTGGGGGCTTTTTTTTTGGACCCTTTTTTTTTTGATCTTCTTGAGCAGGCGCAACTTTCTCCAGAGGGTCATAATCCCACCGTAGGCTGCCTAGCATATAGATAGCTAACAGCTGCTAAATTTTGCATCGTCGGGTGTATGATACGTATAGTGCCGACCACACGTTCAAAAGAGGGGATTTCCCAGAATTGTTGATAGTTCCCTGTTATCCTTGATCCTTGCGATAAACCTGAGCTATCGTCAGGTTCTTACGGAAGGGGTAATATTGATAGACTATTTGCTCCGAGTACTGGAAAATCGCAGGTGATAGAGTTCCCATGCTGGAACTATTCACTCCGTCACCATTTATCACTCGCAATTTATGGTAGCAGTTAAGTAATATCACCATGAGTCTCAGCAATACCGTGCCATTTCCTTGAATTCCCGGCGACAGCAAATGCCTGATAGCAAAATATTTCTTGTGAGAGTTCGTTTCGACCTATGCGGATACCTTGGGCTCTTTTGCTGCTATTACTTGGATTGGCTCCACTACTGTTATATGGCAGACAATCAGGGGCAACGATTTGTTAAGAAAAGACTCAATGTGGGCATCGACGGAGCCAAGAAACCCAGGTGGGATATCGCAATTGAGATTCAGAATATCCAAGTGACCATCTTGGGGTTTGCGTATGCGATGAACGAGTGGATGGGGGATATCACAAAAGGTGTTTTTCCCGACGGCCAAGATTGTGTAACTTTAATGACTACGATGCTATGGCTTAGATGGGTTGCGGAGCCCCTTGGCACCAATTTCGAAATTTGTTAGTTGTGTATCATATTGTACTGTACACGAGCATACAATACAAATTCCAACCAACCCAATATAACCTAGGATTCCCTCCTCCTGAGCAGAGAGCAGCTAGTCCTGGGGGTGGAACCTGGCTCTGGGGGTCTTGTAGCCTAGAGCTGCCGGTCTGGGGCACTTACTGGAGGGGCCATGATCAACTCAAAAGTCGGGTGACATTTGGTGATCCCAGGTTCTTGGGATATCATTATTAAAGTTCCAGAATTCGCGAATTGTAAGTTCGCCTTGGGCTAAAGCGGTTCGCAAGTGCATTTTTTCCCATATTGTTCCATTGTTTCCCCTGCATGAGGATCGTACCGGTGAGTACCGTAGCAATCTTGTCTTAGTATTCTTCGGCGTGAGCTCGACAAAGTAAACTGAAGATCATGTGATATCAGCTTATCGAATCCAGTGCCAAGGGGTAGGTCAACACCAACCACGAGGGCCCCTCTCTCTCAATACACCCCTCCTGAATAACTCCGGTCACTGTCTTTTTTATAATTCGCTCCTTTCGTGCGTCCAGTGCCCTATTCCCTGAGTTGAATAGGCTTCTTGCTATCCCCTCCTTTGGTTTGAGATCCGGCTTTTGGCTGATGACCTGCACTTGGCGGTCTCGGATAGCTCTGCAATATTTTTTTTCTACACAGCACCATAACAAGTCGAAATGGACTCAGATGCGGATGGAGTGAACGATTTTTTACAACGGATCCGTGAATTGGGCGATAAACGAGATCGTGAGGACGAGGAACGCTCCCGGAGGCTCGAGCAAGAGATTATAGCTGGGCGAGAAGCGAGGCGAGCTCGGAGAGATGGTGAGGCTCATTCCCTTGGGTGGACATTGAATTTCCGAGGATTTTTTTACGGTCATCCCCCATCTCGAAAGGCTGACTTGTGGCTATTGTAGAACGTGCAAGATCTCTATCGCCCCAGAAAGATTCACCACAGGGCACGCCGACGAGTATTCAATCGTTTTTGCTAGATTCACCTAGATCGGAGACCACGGGCGATGTCCGCATCCCCGGGAAACGTGAGGATAGTGTAAACGAAGTGATGGAAAGGTTGACAGGGAGCGCGGAGGAAAATGATGAATCAGCAGTGCGGGAACAAGGAGGACGGCCGACTGGTCCACTCTCATGGCAGCGAAGACCTAAATCCAACACGGTATCATCATCCTCATCATCGCACCGACTACCTTCTGATCGACAAGCGCAGCAACATGACAGCAGTGATGAGGAGATCGAGAAGCGGCGTTCACAGATTGCACTGAATTTAGGCTCCAAGGATCCATCATGGTTCAGACAGACGGCGGACCGAGGCACTACGTCGGGCGCTTTACGGAAGGCGCAGGAAGAAGGAATGAATGTTACCGGGAGGATGCCACTACCGGGAATGTCTACTAGTTCGACAATTGGGAGAGATGTAGGGCTTGGGCCAATAAAACAATCCCTTTCCGCTCAGTCTTCGAATGAGACATTGAAATCAGCCAATTTTCTTTCATCAGGTTATCTTGGTCGTAGCGAGTCTATGCGTTCGACGGATCGTATTCCATCTTCGATTTCGGCTTCTGGATTGTCATCGCATTCTAGAGATGTGTCTCTATCAAGCTCAACCTCGCTACGTTTTGATCCCCCTGGGAGGGAGTCACTTTCATCTACTGATGGGATTAACCGATTAATTGCTATGAGCCCAAGCCAAGGGCGGATATCACCGGAACGTAGAGAGAGAACCCCCAGTCCTACAAAAGGTCTGGGGAGCTTTGTTCAGAGCGCAATGTTGAAGAGAGAGGGCTCTATAAATAAGAGATGGAGCAATTCACAACAGCCTGGAGTTTTATCGAGGAACAATAGCTCTGCGGGTTCAGGACCCACTGCTAGGCCACCCTTCCCTCGAGCACGCGACTCCACTGCTACCGCTGATGACCCAAGAGAGTCTTCACTGGCATTTGACGATGTTTCTAGGAGTGGAATAAAGAAGGAGTCAATAGAAGGGGAAGGCGGTGTGTGTGGCATTGGTCGTCGAGGCTCTGCAATCGAGGGGCTATCGTCAAGCTACCCTTTAACAGGTGACGGCGGTTTAGATCCACCTTCGAAGCGTTCAAATGAGGATACACCCCCCTCTTCACCTTCAAAAACCATTGATCAGAAGAGGTGGAGTCCGACAAAGTCCTCATGGCTGGAAAGTGCGCTGAAGAAAGGTGCAGAGAGCCCACAATTCTCACCACCCCCAATGAAACCATTGGTAAAACCTTTTGAGAAGCCGCCATTAAGGCCGTTTGAGAAAAAGCTTCCGGAAACTGCCAGCACACCTGTTCGCCCTCCTACAAATCCTAAGCCTCCCAACCTCTCGCCAAAGCCTTTAGGAAACCCTCCTGACCTCACATCACCGAAGGCTGATGTACCTTCGGATACCGGAGATGTTACTTCAATAAGGCCGTCTGTTGCAGATAAACCTATTGTTTGCCCCAAGCCGTCGTTGAAATCGCCAATCAATATTACCGCGCCTATTCTTGAGAAGTCGCCTCTCAGACCTAGAGAACCTCTTAACTTACGTGCTGGACTGAAGCCCCGGCCTGTGGTTGGGGGGAATGGCAAAGGTGAAGAGTTGCCTTTTTTGAATGCGATGTCAAGGTTACGTTCTGTAAAGACTCAGAATTATGCAGCACCTAACGAGCTGAAGGAGCGTATTCTGGCAGGAAAAGCCAATTTGCAAGCTACGGGTGGCCCTCAGAAAAACAAAGGACCAGACCCTGTGAAAGAAACACTCCTTTCAGTCAAAGGATCTCTTAGACACTCCAGTAGCCCTAGTGTTGTACCTACAGTGCCTCCAGCTGAGACAAAACCTAAAACATCAAATCTTACCAAGCAGGTGCTTCCACTAGCGAAACCCGGGCCTGAACTGAAGGAGTCAGCCCTTGCCAACAGATTTAACCCGAGCCTTGCCACTTTGTTACAGCGAGACCCTCTCGAAATGTCTCTCGGTAGGAGCCTGGAAGCCGCTCAAAGTGAGGGTAGAAGTGAAGCTACAAGTAATACTGAGATTCAGGGGAGTGGGAAAGCCCTCACGCATGTAGGTTATTTCTGGGGTAGTTTTTTACACTATTTTTGTGGATAGTTCATTAACTGTTAACCTAGATGACCAAAGGTAGAGCTCGAGGCCCGAAGAGACGAGTACCGACCACAAAGGGTGGGGCAGGTGCAATGCCAGTGGTGGCTCAGAGCACAGTGTCAAACACGGAAGGAAAGGAGGCATGATTGTATTTTTAACGGAGGACTGATAGGATGCCCGCCAATACGAAGACCACGACAGGGTGACAGAATCCCCGTCAGCAGAGAAATTTAAAAAAAGTCCTAATTGATGCTGAGCAACCCCCTCGGCCTACGGAAGGGTATCATCTCTGAGCAAAGAATGAGTCCTTGTCATTTCTTCTCTTTCTTTTCTTTTTTATTTTATTTTTTCATTTTCTCTATCCTACTTAGATAAATCATACCATGCACCGATTTCGCACAGTACAAACTCCTAGTTTTAGCCACCACAAAATGCAACTTTGTCATATTGTGGAGGGATTTACAATAAACTTCCTTGGTGACTGCCTAATTACCTGGCTGAGCTTCATTCAATCGAAAAATGATTTGGAATTGTGATGACAATTATATCAGTAACCTCGGCCGAATGTGTTTTAAGAATTTCGCAAAACTGGGTTCTTGATAAGTCCTCTAGAAACCAACCACAAGGGGGGTTCTGAAAGTGTGACGCTTCAGTACATATCTCCCTAAGATGAGATATAACAAGTACAGTACCGTAAGCCATGATAACCCTGGACGAGCGGAGTCTATCATATAAAAATATGCCTCCCAAGGCAAAGTGGTCATTCATTCATCGAACTGTCCACTTTGTGGGATGGAGAAACACGCCGTTACTGGCGCACACACCCCATCGTCGACATGGGCGTTCTATTCCTCATCGGGAAATTTTTTGTGTGGGTGGGCATCGTATCAAACATGTAATTTTTATTTTTATTTTTATTTTGGGAAAGAAAAGTGATAAGCTGTGATTCTAGCTGTGGGAAAATTATGATGATTCGATCAACGGGAAGGCACAGTAAGATCTAAGACACATTGCACTATGGCTCAGTCTCAAGTGCAGGTATGATACTTATAGCATCAGTTTTGTGCACTCTTCCGGTTAAATTTGTATGATGGAAAGCAGTTTTCCTCCCCCACTCCAGCCACCCATAGTACAGGTACAGTAGGGGGCCGGGCCAACGAACAGGAGGGGGATGATATCATACAGTATCGTACAAGGAACAGCCTCATAGGATTTTTTAGCGCCTACCGCCAGATTTTTGGCGCACTGCCAGCCGCCCTCCCCTCCCTCCCCTCTGTCTGTCGTCCCTTGCCGCGTCACAAGGGATAAGTACAGTACAGTGCAAGTGCTATGTTGCACCATACTCGCGTCTTCTCACAAAGTATAGTATCTTATCGCCAGTCGACCCCTCACAGCCACCCGGGAGGGGGGGGGGGTGAGCCACAAAAAGAACAACAAGCCCCCGAGCCGCCGGAAAGACCTCCTCTGTTCAAGGGTACCGGTGCCCATATCATGCCTCAGACAAAGAACTCCTGGATCTATGTGGGCGGAGGGGGTGGTGGTGGTGGTGGAAACGACCCAATTTCTACAACGCTTTTGTCTGTAACGATTGAACACTAGGCTGTCGTGCTCCGTGGTATCATAGGAAATAACATTTTTGCGCTTCCAGGTGCACAGGCCAGGACAAACTGCGAGCCACCCCCCCTCTCACATCCCATCCCATCCCATCCTGTTTCCCACCCCCACCGATCTCTGGAAAAAGAAGTGCGTCGTGCAGCAGCCGCAGGTGGGGCAAATGGGGCGAGGTCGCGATGGCTGCTGCGCGCGGAGTGGGAGTGCTGGATTGGAGTGAACACGTAAGCGGTACTCGATATATGGGGGGAATGGGGGGAGAGAAATACGGGGAAAGCGGAGGCATTGTTCGCCCGGGTCGGAGGAAAATAAGGCTGATCGTGAGGTCCCATGGGAAAGGGATAGGGACTTTGCGATTTCGCATCTAGAGTCAAATTCTAGCGATCTGGTTGGTCTAGAACCGCATTTGCCTTAAATCTAGACTCTTTTCGCAAAGTCTCTATTATCCCACCATCGGCGGAATCGAACAGCAGCACTTGGGCTACTCCTGAAAGGTGTCGGAGAGAACTGCGGGAATGGAAGAGAAAACATGGACAATCACTCGGTCGAGAATGATAATAGGAAAGATCGACACTTCAACAGAGGGGGTACGACGAGCGATACCGTACACGGGAAGTCCATTGGCAAATATCGGGTCTGGTGGGGCCCTCCGCCTTACCCCTCCCTCCCTTTCGCTATCCCTTTTGCAGTGTTAATTTTACCTGCAACCTTCAGCTGGTGTGTGTCAGAAAGTAGCTTGAAAGTGCGAGCCTTGTGGCGCAAAAGTATTAGTTGTTATGACCTCACCAATAATAAATATTAGAGAGTGCAGATCTCCCTCTTTTCAGGGTTATTTTCAACCCCGTATAGAAAACTAGCTGTTGTACCAGATAGGCCCAAAAACAGACGGGGGATAACAACTGTTGGAAATTACGTTATTCCTTTCCTATCCGGTGATGGGGCTGTGTTGGTCATGTGACATGGCCACATGACCAAGTATATATGCTATTGTATTCTAGCATCTTTTAGAGATTTCCTTGATATGGGGCAGTGCTCGTGTAATGATAAAGGGGTAAATAAAGGGCAGGTTCAGCCCTGTTCTTAGAGAGAGAGCGCAAGTTTGGATTAATCTTTAAGTCTTCAAATTTTATTGTGGTTATTATTGTTACTTTGTTATTACAACAGTTAGTATAATAGATACAAATATTTTCAGGTTATGAGCCTGGGTTTGTGAGATACTTCCACCTTCCCACTATAAACCAGAAGACCTCTGAAGCACTCTAAGTGAATGTATTACCGTCTCCCACCCTCAACCAATCTTCTATTATATGGTGGCGAAAGATTTCTTTTACGACTTACACGAGTGCCTACCTACCTTCTCTAAACATGGCCTTTACCAATATAAAGGCTGCAACCACCTCCAATCGCTAAACTTCGATAATTTTTTTCCTGTATGCTGTGAATGTTACTACTAAAATATCTGAGTTTAAGTACTAGATTATCTCAAGGATATCAATTGATACCAATGACTTCTTGACACAATACAAAAGAACTAAACAGTCTACATTATGATATCTGAAAAGCAACACAAAATCTGGCTTTAGCATTTCTGTCAAGGACTACCCCAAACTCCATGATCAAGAAAATTATCAAACCTGTGCTAACACCTTGGAGATAGCTTTCGAGATCCTGGATTTGTAGGATGTAGTATTCGGGGAATCTGTGAAACCAGAACCTCCTTCTGAAGGTAGCACAACAACTTACACTACGCGAGTTAAGGAATGGACAAGGAAAGACAAAAGAGTAAAATTCTTCCTATACCAAGCTATTGACACTACCTTCCACGCCAATATCTCTGCCAATACAACCTCTAAATGCGTTTAACAAGCCTTCAAAGATTGATTCGACAAAGAAACTCCTGGAAATAACATGATTTTACTGGAGCTATCTGAAAGATCAAATTTATCTCTGGACAATCAATCCCCGACCATACAACCAAGTTTGAAACCGCTTGGAATTGATTAGCCCAACGATGTGCCAATGACACAGACAGTGAAGGCAATATCAATAAATTCCGTACTGCAATGACGATGTGGACCCAATCTAAGTCAGTGAAAGGAAGGCTGTTCATGTTATCCAGAAATGACCTACATCCTGATATATGCGACATGTTATCAGCATGAAAAACTATTCACTATATAGATATCAGAGACTACTTTATCAGTAGGGCTGCTAAGAAGTGGGAAGGAAAAGAAGAAGAAAAGGCACTAAGTGTACCTAGAGGTGAGAAAAAGAATTGCAGCGATTGTACAAAGAGAGGGAAAACAAGTGACAACTACACAATCGCTAAATGTCAAAGTCTATAAAAAGAACAGATAAGAAAAGAAAAAAGAAAACAAACTCAAATGGCCACGACAACTGACGTGAACATTAGGGTATTAATAGCTGGAAATATGCCATTAAATTCACAGATTGTAGAGGGTAAAAACTCTACGAATTGGCTATGTGACTCAGGTGCTACAAGTCACCTTTCATCAAACTCAAGTAATTTCCTTAATCTCACACTTTCCTCCAAAACCATAGTAACTACTGACAGAAGAATTTATCAGGCAACTGTATCCAGAGATACAAGAATCAATGTACACCTGTTGGATGGACGTCAATATACAGTCATCCTTAAATAGTTACTGTATGTTTCCTCCTTTTGATACTCATTGGTATCAGAATCCCGAATGGATGATATTGGAGTAAGGATAGTGATTGAAACTGGGAAGAGATTGTTTGAGAAGAAAGGGAAAATATTCATAGTAGTGGATAAGAAAGAAGGACTATGGTATATAAGAATGAAAAATAAAAGTATTATTATTTCCTCCTACGAAGAAAGGCATTAGGTCCTTGGATATTCGAAAGTGATTAAGGATTGTTACAAGGATACCTCCCCCATCGACACTCCTCAATACTTTGATTGTGATACTGGTAATAAGTATAAATCAACTCATAATATACCAAAGACAATTGAAATAAACACAAAATCAATATTTAAAAAAGTGCATTCTGATTTGAGTAGTCATATGTTAGTACATACTATTGGCAAGAACTTGTACTATATGACATTTGTCGATGATTATACTAGGTACTGTTGGATATACTTACTGAAGTTTAAGAATGCGGCAGTCACAGCAATACAGATCTTTTGGGAACTGATAAATACATAATTCTATAAAAGCATCAAACCACTACACAGTGAACAAGGCACCAAATATGTCAATCAAAATGTTATCCAATTCTTTAAATCAAAAGGAATCATTCATACTGTCTCTCGCGCTTATAATCCTGGATCGAATGATGTCTTAAAAAGGATAAACCAAACTCTTATAACAATGATACGGTATATGATGCCAGGAGATCGAAAGTCT